AAATTAGGGACGGCTAGCGCAGATAGCCCTCGTGTAGCTTTGCGCGAAATTCAAAAACAAACTTCCACCTTTTACCCTCACTAAGTCAGTTAGTCTTATCATTTTTCATTCAGTGTCTAATTTGATTTTGCCATAACTGAAATTTAACGTTAGTACTAACAACAACAATGATAGTTAATCAGGTTCGTACTTAAGCCTTGTTTCACTGAAAACCCTGACAACATATCCACCCTAAATATAGGAATGTTATTCAGCTTGTAACATGTTTGTTTTTTGTTGTCTAAAATATCGTAAGCACAAGATAAGATTAAAACACACCTTATATTTACGATATTAAATATATCAGTTTGACTGAAGGTAGTCCCCTCGCATGTAAAGCACAAGCTAAGATCAAAACACACCTCATATTTATGATATTGAAGATATCAGTTTGACTGTGGGTAGTCCCCTCGCATGTAAAGCACAAGCTAAGATTAAAACACACCTTATATTTACGATATTGAAGATATCAGTTTGACTGAGGGTAGTCCCCTTGCATGTAAAGTACATGACAAGATTAAAACACACCTTATATTTACGATATTAAATATATCAGTTTGACTGAAGGTAGTCCCCTCGCATGTAAAGCACAAGATAAGATTAAAACACATCTTATATTTATGATATTGAAGATATTAGTTTGACTGAGGGTAGTCCCCTTGCATGTAGTTTTATCTTGTCGTAAAAGCCAGGAATTTCAGTTTATCCAAAAAAAGTTGAGATTTCCTTTTCATCCTTCCTTATTTCAGAGTTTTAAGTTTTATTATTTGGCAGTAATACTACTATAGTAACTATAAATTGGTTTGTTATCTTTCTAGCAGTGGAAGCCGAAATCCATCGAAAAACTTCTAGAAGATTCTCCGATCCTATTCCAGATTATGATGACGAAATCAATTACAAAGAACCCGAGAACAATGGTAATATAGGCAAGAGAAGTAAAAAGAGCTCGCTTGTAAATTCTAGGGTTCAATCCCAGCATTCAATGGAAGCCTGTAGCACAAGCACAGACGAGGGAATTGAGCAGGAGGTGGAGGATGGGGGTCCCACGGGGGAAGACATGATGGAATATCCTCCCGAACTTAATGAACTCTGCGATTTGGTGGATTCTTTGGATTTCTCGAGATCGACAAGTACCTCAAGCATTGAGGATACAGATTTGGTAGATGAAAGTAATCAAACCTCGCAAAAGAAGGCTTCGGAGATTACTTCAAAAGAAATTCAAGACTCTATTCCCAAGGGAGTTACAAGCACTAATCTAAAAATTGTTACGGACACTAAAGTTAACGGAGTTCCAAGCACTAATCCAAAAATTGTTACGGACACTAATGCTAAAGGAGTTCCAAGCACTAATCCAAAAATTGTTACGGACACTAATGCTAAAGGAGTTCCAAGCACTAATCCAAAAATTGTTATGGACACTAATATTAAGGATGATTCAAGCACTAACCTAGAAAGTGTTACGGACAATAATGGCAAAGGAGTTACAAACACTAATGTAAAAAGTATTACGGACACCAATGTCAAAAGAGTTCCAAGCACTAATGTAAAAAGTGTTACGGACACTAATATCAAGAAAGCTCCAAGCAACTATAGGAAAGAAAATATAGGCATTACTACTGAGAAAGTTCCAAACACTAAAGTTAAAGAAGTTAATAACGCTGACGTTAAGGAAGCTTTAAAAATTAGTAACAATGTTGCTTCAAACTCTGATATCGAGAATGTTCCAAACACTAAACTTAAAGAAGTTAATAACACTGAGGTTAAGGAAGTTTTAAAAACTAGTAACAAAGTTGCTTCAAAGTCTGATATAAAACAATTTCCAAGCACTAACTCAAAAGAGGCTTTAGGTACCAACATGGGTAATATTTCTGAGACTGAGTCTTCATTACCGCCCAAAGAAACAGTTGGTCAGATAAGAAACATTTTTGAGGAAATTAGCAAACCAAAATTGAACCGTATGAAAAATCTTGAAATCAAACAGGCTGTTGTTGGTACCAAAATGGGTTCTGACATCAAGGTGTGTAACGACAAAAATGCTAAAAATAGTTCTCCAGAAAATACCTCGTCGATGGTGCCTCCTCCACCGCCTCCTCCTCCTCCTTTGACTATTTCCAAAATGACAGAAAGCGACATCTTTTCCACGAAACAACATGAAAATACCAACAACGATTCTACCTCGGTAGGGCAGATGAAACAATTCAAATCTGCCGAAGTGCAGTCGGAAGCCTCAGATATTTCAAATGATATTAAGAAGGTTCTATCCAATAAAATAATGAATGGTGGAGAACCCGAAAAAAATCCTAGTGGTCAAATCTTATCCAAGTCCAAAAGGCACGTGACAAAGGCTTTCAACCCAGTGCAGATAAACTTTCCCGTTGGTTTGGACACCAACCTCAAGCCATCCGAATTCTTAAAGAAAGTTGGTAAAAAACCTCCATCGTCAAATTTAAATGGCAAAAATATTAACCAAAGATTGGATGGAAGTTCACTCAAACTTATCGATGATACTCCCAATTATCGAACAGACAAAACGGAAGATGGTTACGATGAAAAAGGCGAAGCAAAAACTGTGGGAAACTCTGTGGTCTTGAAAAGTCCAGAGGAAGACGTTGTATCAAAGGATCCTTCAATTGGAAGCTCTGGGACCACATCTAATGGTGCAACTGTTTCGTCTGATCAGTTTACCAACAAAACTCCTTTCTCTGTCTCTGACGAACAACTAAGATCTGTTAATTTGAAGAAAACGGAGAAAACAGCCCCCAACGGTAAGAACTTTGTGAAACAGTTTACAATAAGCTCAAAAATAATTGGTAAAATTTTTAATCCTGCCTTTCGACTGTTTTTTTTTTCGTTCACGTATTCGTTTATTAATGTATTGTTATTAAATTGACGACATCTATCGGATAATAACATTGTTTTTGTAGAAATATATTAGGTTCCCTATGAAAATTTTGTTAGGACTTTCATCACAAAATTACAGAGTAAACGTCTTTATATATATTTATTTACGATTTCACAACATATCTTAACCCGGTGGAACAGTGGTAAGTCTATGGACTTACAATTCTAAAATCCGGGATTCGATTCCCTGCGGTGGACACAGCAAATTGTGGTTTTGCTCTAAAACAAGCACAACGTATCACTCCTCATCAACAGACCTGGACAAAGCCAAATCGAAACCCAAACCCAACCCAAAAAATCTTGGCAGTTTAAAATCTTTCTATCTCTATATGGGCTCAAATGATAACCAGGAGCGATCAGAAACCGTAGTTTCTTTTCATTAAACACATCGAAACAACAACAACATATGCGTTATTTCATTCCGATGCCGCTAGAGGGTTACGCCTTCTCGTCGGCCAAGCGACAAAGATAGATATAAATGGAGATTATAAGAAGTGGGTAAAAGAGAAAAGTCAAAAATCGATAGATTTAACACTAGGCTTTATATTGTGGTTGAGTGTCTACTACATGTATGGTGTTTTGTGATTCCTTTTCCTCACACAGTAAACGTATATTTACACACGACTTTAACGAAGATACAGCATTTACGCTACCAATTTCATATTGTGAATTATTTAGTCGACCAGCTGTTTAAAGTAATAAAAAGTAAACGTGGTGATTGTACGAGTTAAAAAAAAAGACTTCTCAAACGCCATACAGAAAGCACGTGACCATTAAAAGGTGATGTTTGTTTGTTGAATTTCGGACAAAGCTACTCGAGAGCTCTCTGCATTAGCCATTCCTAGTTTAGAACTAATAGACTAGAGGGAAGGCAGCTGGTAAACATCACCCACCGCCAACTCTTGAGCTCTGCTCGCCGCGGGTATCGAAACCCGAATTTTAGCGTTTAAGCCTTGAGGCTTTACTGCTGAGCCACCAGGGGGCAACTTTTAAGTTAAAAGTGGGATTGACCGTCACAATACAACGCCCTCACGGCTGAAAGAGTGAGCATGTTCAGTGATCCGATTTGAACCCATTACCCACAGATTGCGATTCCAGCGCCCCCTGAACACCAGACACTGCCCTCAAAATGGACTTATTAGGGTATTATAACAAACATCAGTATAGTAAATTAAATTAGTTCGTATTTAAATTCATAATATACCTAACGGCAT